GGCTATCACTGTGGTATTGCTTTATTCCATTTAACAGAAAATATATTTTGCTGCAATAAAATGAACAGGAAACAGCCTGTTCTACAAACAACCTGTTAATAGACAGTCATTTGCAATGTTATACATCAGATATGTAATATGTGGTACAATCTGTTGTCTGTCAAAACATCCAATCATCAGGTACTCCAGACTATAGCTAGTTGTCTGGGGAAACATTACTAATGTAGAATGTTAACTAATCAAGGAGTAGTGCAATAGAACAGGTATATACCTGTATACAATCAAAAGGAATAACAGCAGTTATTGTGATTTCAGAAGCAAAATAATAATAATAATAGATAAATAAATAGATAAATAAAAAAGTTGTTAAATTAAGATTGCTAAAGAAGGTCCAGCAGGAAGAAATGCAAGTAAAATTAAGAAAATGATTGTAGATGTAATATAGTAGGCACTAAATCTATTTGGTTTATTTTAAGTCCATGTCATGGCAAATTAACACCTGCTTTGTTATAACTGACTGTTTGGAAATATTCTATATACGAATGTTTTTTTTTTTTTATTAATCACTAACCCTGCAAAGTAATGTCTACTTATTTAGGAAGTTAACTCACTTGATATGCAACTTACTTGGAAGAAATGATAAATGCATACAAATTTTAAATCATGGGCAAACTTTTCTTTCAGTTTGTTAACACACTTTTTAACTGATTTACATGTACTAGGAAGCCATTCACTTACTACAAAATGATATGAGATTATTTAATTGGTCAACTAACTTTATGGTATATGGTAATTACATAAATGATATTCCCAGAATAAGGAATTAATATTAGAAACAAAATTATGAACTTTCATTATATATTTTTTAAAGACAGTATGTGTTTTGACCTCACTAGTTCAAATAACAATAATTGTTTGCAAAGTATATTAAAAAAAATTAGTGACAACACATTTGGAGCCTGTTTCCAATCACTGTTTCTCTGTAGACGGACCGGAGTGGTGACATCATGAAGTCTTAGTTGGTAATGCCGTCTTCCTACAGCGACGTGAATGTTCGTGCTTCACAAGGGCTTGCAGGGATAAGGTGGTTCTGCGCAATACGACGCCGTAGTTTCAAGGATAAGATCTCGTTTTCTGTCCTTGACGGAGGTGACACATCGTCACGTGTGTCGCTAGTTGTGACAGATATAATCGTGCGAGAACTTGTACATGAATATTATATCCTGGGACCTATATTATGTGCAACCATGCATGATAGTTTCGTGAGTCACTGATGTGAATGACCTAATGTGCAGGCTGAACTGTCCGTGCGGTATCACCTCGAGAACATCTTGTAGAAGCCCTCGATGACAGTCTTGGCCGAGGATCGACGTCTTCTGGACCAACGACGCCGCACGACATCGCGATACAGCTCTGAGAAGGCGGCGTGGATAGCGGGCCCTCCGTCGCACGCTGAAGTGAGGAAGAGCGACGCCCCAAGTTCGCCCGCCAGCTCGAGCGCCTCCTCTTCGCGCACCTCCGCCAGGTGACCTGCTCGGCGGCGAGAAGGGGGAAATGTTAGCGATAATTACAATGACAAAGGCATTAAAACTGATATTTACTAAAATATTTACAGTAAAAGTGTAATTGTTTGATCAATTAATTAACACTAATACTACTTGTGCAATTATCATAGTGCTATTACCATGATTAACATCATCGTCACTGCTGTAATTACTGGTACTACTAATGACAGTATGATGTCAATAACAATGAAAGAAACATCGAAATATTATAATGATAATAATTATGATGATATTGCCATTCCTACAACTGCTGATGATATGAAGAACAACGATGAGAGGAATGTTAATAATAATAAAAAAATAGAAACATACAGGAAAAATAACAATTAAATAGTAATTCAAACAGGAAGATGAAAAATATAATGCCATCACTTCCCTAGTACCAACAAAGCCACAGAATGGTAATGTTACACTCAGACCGACAAAAGATGACACTAGTAATAATATTAACAACGATATTAATGATAATTATTATGATGATAATAACAGTAATAGTAATTATAGAAGCAACTAAAATAGTAACTGCACGGACACTGTAATTGCTTCGACAATAATTCTGCACTTCTTAAACATTAGCATCATAATTGTAGAAACTAATGTAGTAGCAGTAACGGTATCAGCTATAGTGATGGCAGCAACAAGACCACAATAATCTTACCCAAATCAATTTTATTAGCGACAATGACACACGAAAAATTGGGCGTCTGGCGAGCAGCGGCAACGGAGGCATGGATATCTGGAATGGCGTTGAAGCTCGTCCGGTCCGTGAGACTAAACGTCAGAATAAACCCTTCTCCCCATCGACAGTGGGACTCATTCACCCCTCCCTCGCTCTGGGGAGAAAAGTGGAATGAGCTGCAAAGAAGGAAATGGATGGGCTTCTATAAGTATTATCTTGCGTGGAAATGAAAAATAAAGAATCTGAGCCAAAATACGTACTTGATTTCTTCTATTGTAAGGGGATGGAAGTAAGACGGGGAGAGTAAATACGGATGAAGAAATAAGTATCTCCCCCGCACACACACACAGCAACAGTGATGTTGGCACGAAAAGCAAAAACAAAACCTTAAAGGGAATCAATAAAACAAATGCATTAACACTGACAGATGAAGCGGGGGGGGGGGGGGGCGTGTAAGCGTAATAAACGGGGACCGTTCGTGGCTAGAGACAGACCAGGAGGCAAGGCAAGACCTACAGCAGTACATAAGATATAGTAGTACCGCACTACCATTAAATCCAAACTTACTTACGTCTCTCTCTCTCCTCCTCCTCCTCTCCTCTCTCTCTTTTCTCTTCACTATTCTCTCTTTTCTCCACTATTTCTCTCTCTCTCTCTTTTCTTCTCATTGTTCTCTTTATCTCCTCACTCCTTTTCCCTCTCTCTCTCTCCCTCTCCTCCCTCCTCGAGAGGGAGAGAGAGAGAGAGAGAGAGGAGAGAAGAGAGAGGAGAGAGAGAGAGAGAGAGAGAGAGAGAGAGAGAGAGAGAGAGAGAGAAGAGAGAGAGAACGGGAGGGGGAAGAGGAGAGAGAGAGAGAGAGCGGAGGGAGGAGAGAGAGAGAGAGAGAGAGGAGAGAGAGAGAGAGAGAGAGAGAGAGAGAGAGAGAGAGAGAGAGAGAGAGAGAGAGAGAGAGAGAGAGAGAGAGAGAGAGAGAGAGAAGAGAGAGAGAGAGAGAGAGGAGAGAGGAGAGAGAGAGAGAGACAAGGCAGAGTCTGAGATCGCGGCCGGCCTCCAGCGTGGGGTCGTATTCCCAGATAAAGCGACCTGTTAGGAGTCGTACTACCAAGGCTGCAATTGAATAGAAGGATATTGATGATAATTGCCAAAATGATGATCAAAATAATTACAAGACAACAATTATGATGGTAGTAATGATGACGATTATTATTATCACTTTTATTATTATTATAATTTCTATCATCATTGTTATCGTTATTATCATTGTTGTTATAATTATCAGTACTATTTCTTATCATTATCCTTATTATTATCATTACTATTATCATTATTATTACTATTATTATCATTATCATTATTATCATGATCATTATTATTACTATTACTTTTATTATTGTTGTTATTATAATTATTATCATTATTATTTTAACTATTATAATAATTATTTTTTTTATTATCATCATTATTATTATCATTATTAGCATTATCATTATATTATGATTATTATGATGATGATTATTATATTATTATTGGTATTGGATTTATCATTTTTATTACCATTAGCATTAGTATGATCATGATCATTTTAATTATAATCATTATTATTATCACCATCAGCATCACTATCATTGCCATTATCAACATTATCATTATCATTATCATCATTACAGTCCTCGCCCTCGCCCCCGGCCGAGGGCGGCGGGCGCCTCACCTGACTTCCCGACGGCGGGCGAGCCGAGCACGACCAGCCTGGTCTCAGCGGGCGCCGACGTCTTTTTGTGGGCCGAGATGGGCGTGAAGGCGGAGAGGTGGGTGGTGGTGGGCGTGATGGAGCCGCGGTGGTTGGTGGTGTTGGAGGGCGTGCGAGAACTGGAGGAGGAGGAGGAGGCGGTGGAGGCCGAGGCGTTGGAGGAGGAGGAGGAGGTGCGCGGAGGAGGGTGGGAGGGCGCGTTGGAGGCGAAGGGCGACGGCGAACTGGCCTGGCTCCTGCTGGCCGCAGCCGCCGCCGCCGCCGCCACCGCCGGTCGCGGTGGCGGCGGCCGTTGTGCCTGCATGTGCGGCTGAGGCGCAGGTAGCGGATCCGCAGGTGGTGACGGCAGTGGAGGTGGATGAGGTGGTGTTGTGGGTGGAGGCGGCGGTGGAAGAGGCTGAGTAGGCGGCCGCGGCCTCTGCGGGGGGGCGCGCCCCCGCTGGCCCGTCTGCCTCGGTCGCGCGATTGTTTCCTGCACGAATGCGAACGGGTTAGCACACATGATTAGAATGTTATATCATCACCTACATGACTAGACAGACACGGCGCAGGTGTCGCCAGGACGCCCCTGCCATGCACTCAGCCAAAGACGGAAATTTAATCGCCCCTGTCGGACTCACCTCGTATGGTTCATGGAGGGGGAGCGAGGGGGCGCGCTGGACCTCGAGGCCGAGACCATCATGGAGGACGACCTCAGCATGAGTCTCGAGTCCGAGGATGGACAGCCGTGCGTGTGAGCGTCTGTTCTATTTTTTCTTAAATTATTTCAGAAACCCGGGGACCTGAGACTTGATTTATCTTTTTTCTCTAACTCTTGTCGCGTCGATGTCCACGGACAAGATTAGTGTCTTTTAATCCGATTCTGAGACACGAAGTTCAGCTGCGCCTGGCACGAGTGGCGCCTGGCACGAGTGGCACCTGGCGCGCGGCGGGCTGCTTCTGACGGGCGCTCGGATCCTCGCCGGCCGCCGCGGAACATGGCACTCTCGGGCACCCGGCGACCTGGAAG